TACAGGTAGTGGAAGAATGTGGAGATGTTTGCCTGTGTCTCAGGGGGTCCCCAGCAGGACTGAGCCCCAGCTGTATTAGTGGTGACTCCTCAATTTGTCTCAAGTCTTCAGTCTCCCACAGGACTTCCTGGAATCACTTCCCAAATAAACTACCTACACCCAAATCCTTATCCCAAAGTCTGCATTTGGGAGAACCCCAGTAAGACCCTTTTCAACAGTATTATCATGAGGTCTTTGACAAACACCTTGCTGAAATCCTCATATACCACATCTCTCTCTCCTAAAAGACAAATGAGTTTAGTCTGCTATGATTTCTTGCTAGGGAAACCCATGCTGGCTCCTGGGGATTATAAGTTTCTTTTCTAAGTACTCATGAAAATCCATTTAATAAGTTATAATTTGATAGTAGGCATATTGCTACTTTTTAAAAATTATAATTTTCGAAGTCTAATTTGGCTTTGTTTAACATTGGTGGATTTTTATCTGTAAAATACTGAAACTTTTTTTCTATGTGGTGTTGAAAATCATTTTCTTTAAATATTGCCTAAATACTATTATTTCATCTAGATACTAAATATTTTGCTGAGATGGTTTTTATTCTGAAAGACTTGCTTACATGAGAGAAATCATGTGTTGATTTTATAATGCCAAAGCTTTATGTGTTAAGTATTTACACGTAAGCAAAGGGAAATCATTAAAGCCAATTTTTTTGGCAATCCAATATATCTAAAAGCACCAAGCATTTAAAGATGTAAACATCTCTTCAGAAATCGGTTGCATTTCTTTACACTAACAATGAAATATCCGAAAGGAAATGTTAGAAAACAGTACCTTTTAAAATTGCATCAAAAAAGAATACCTAGGAATAAACCTGACCAAGGAGGTGAAAGATTTATGAAAACATTATAACATTATAAAACATTAATAAAGGAAATTAAAGAGGATTCAAAGAAATGGAAAGATATCCCATGCTCTTGGACTGGAAGAATTAATACTGTTAAAATGGCAATACTACCCAAAGCAATCTACAGATTTAATGTGATCCCTAACAAATTATTCATGACATTTTTCACAGAACTAGAACAAATAATCCAAAAATTTATGTGGAACCATAAAAGACCCAGAACTGCCAAAGCAATCCTGAGGAAGAAAAAACAAAAGCAGGGGACATAACTCTCCTGGACTTCAGACAATACTACAAAGCTACAGTAATCAAAGCAGTGTGGTACAGGTACAAAAACACATATAGATCAATGGAACAGAAAAGAGAGCACAGAAATAAACCCACACACCTATGGTCAATTAGTCTTTGACAAAGGAGGCAAGAATATAAAATGGGAAAAATCCCTTCAGCAAGTGGTGCTGGGAAAGTTGGAGAGCTGCATGTAAATCAATGTACTTAGAACATACCCTCACACCACGCACAAAAATAAACTCAAAATGGCTCAATGGCTTAAACAAAAGACATGACACCATAAAACTCCTAGAAGAGAGCATCGGCAAAACATTCTCTGACATAAACTGTATGTTTTCTTAGGTCAGTCTCCCAAGGCAATAGAAATAAAAACAAAAATAAGCAAATGGGACCTAATCAAACTTACAAGCTTTTGCATAGCAAAGGAAACCATAAAAACAAACAAAAAGACAACCTACAGAATGGGAGAAAATATTTGCAAATGATGCGACCAACAAGGGTTTAATCTCCAAAATATATAAACCATTCATACAACTCAACAAAACAACAACAAAAAAACCCAATCCAAAAACGGGCAGAAGACCTAAATAGACATTTCTCTAAAGAAGACATACAGATGGCCAGTAGGCACATGTAAAGATGCTCAACATCACTATTTCTTAGAGAAATGCAAATCAAAACTACAATGAGGTACCACGTCACACTAGTCAGAATGGCCATCATTAAAAAGTCTAAAAATAACAAATGCTGGAGAGGGTGTGGGGAAAAGGGAACCCTCCTACACTGTTGGTGGGAATGTAAGTTGGTGCAGCCACTACGGAAAATGGTGTGGAGGTTCCTCAGAAAACTAAAAATAGAATTACCATATGATCAGCAATCCCACTCCTGGGTATATACCCAGACAAAACTATAATTCAAAAAGATACATGCATTCCTATGCTCATAGCAGCACTATTCACAATAGCCAAGACATGGAAACAACCTAAATGTCCATCGACAGAGGAATAGATAAAGAATATGTGGTACATATATACAATGGAATACTACTCAGCCATAGAAAAGAACGAAATAATGCCATTTGCAGTAACATGGATGCAAATAGAGATTATCATACTAAGTGAAGTAAGTCAAACAGAGAAAGACAAACACCATATGATATCACTTATATGTGGAATCTAAAGTATGGCACAAATGAACCTACCTATAAAACAGGAATAGACTTGCAGACATAGAGAGCAGACTTGTGATTGCCAAGGGGGAGTGGGGGAGGGAAAGGGATGGACTAAAGTTTGGGGTGAGTAGATGCAAACTATTACATTTAGAATGGATAAACGACAAGGTCCTACTGTATAGCACAGGGAACTACACCCAGTCTCCTGAGATAAACCATAATGGAAAAGAATATAAAAAAGAATGTGTGTATGTGTGTGGTTGAGCCACTATGCTCTACAGCAGAAATTAGCATAACATTGTAAATCAACTATACTTCAATAAAAAAATAAAGATGTAAACATCTCTATTAACCCTTTTCAACTCATCAGAATGGAAATAACAAATAGCAAAGGTTTTATAAAATAGGATAACAAATTCAATGTAGAGCAATATTTTCCGTATGAGTTATATAAAATATAAACAAATGATTAAACATTAATATGACTCAAATGTAATACATAATGAGAAAAAATGAACACTATATTGAACAGAAGAAATTAATAACAAAAACCCTTTACAGTTTACTTTTGTCAATAAAGGGTCTGAGTCATAATTTAGCAGGAGCCTTGAATATTTAAGCTAAACTAAAGCTGCATTATAACAGCCACAGTGCACAGTCTATACAGCTTAGCACACTGAAAGTTCAATCAGGGCTTGAGGCAACTTTCTTACACACCCAAAATACAGCAACTAAAAAGGCTTTCTTTCTTGGTTAAATGAGATAAATCTTAAGACTAGGAAACATTCAATAAATAAAAATTTAACATTGCATTTTGCTAGGCACATGAGTTAACACACACACACACACACACACAGTGACAAAAACAGGCACAGAAAGTATTTATATGTGGAAGAATCATCACGTTAATTTATGTCAAAGAATATCATGTTTGTTTATCTTAATGCAGGGCCTAGTTAGGTTTTAAGGTTTCATAAATACTTTTGAATTACTGAACTGCATATATAGAATATTTAAAAGTTGCTACCGAAAAAAAAAGAAAACCAAGTTGAAATTCTACCTAGCAACATAGGTTTCTCAACATAACTTCCTTCCCTATGGACATCAAACTAAGAAACATGTAGAGAGAAAATAAATGGTTTTTGAAAGATACACAAGCTATTTAAAGAGGTCTGTTTCTGAATTACACAGGATATTCTCGTCTATAAAAAATGGAATAGTTTTCAGAGAGAGAATCAATTTTTGCCTAAAGAAATATGGGGTGAGACTGGAACCCTCAGTGAAAGCTCTAAAAGGACACAGAACCCAATGAGTGACCTGAATAGTGAGGGATGGGTGAGAAACAACTATGCAGTAAGTGCTGGCTTGTCAGTGGATCTTTTCCCCTCCCTTCTCTCATTCATTCACCTTTTTAAGACTGCCTTCTGTGTCCTTTTGGGGGGAAATTATCTTACCCTTCATCATTTGTTCCTTCAGTACTTTAATATAAAACCTACAAGAAAAACAACAAATTCAAGGCTAGTATTAAGAGCTTGAATAAAGATATCAAGAAGCCTTATCCTTGGATCAGTAAACTCTTCTTGGTAAATAAAATCTTCATTTGTGGAAGTGGGATGACCTTTCTTAGCAGACGGCATTCATTTAGGGTGTGACACTCTGCTTTTGGAAGTGGGAATAATTACTTTCTAAATAATGTAATAAAAGTAAGTACTTTCCTTCTGAGGCATTATTGCTTTATGGACTTTATTTTGTTTATCCTTAGAGTATATTGTTTGTTGCATTACACAAGTGCAGATATGATACCTAACTTCTAATGATTTACCCAAAATCATACAAGAAAAAGCAGGACTAATGGAAATGTAATCAAAACCTCTTGAAAATGCAGTTACTGTAGATGCACATAAATAAATAAACTATAATCAAAAGTTGAATCTGAGGTCTGGTAACTGATTTTATGTTAAATAGAGGTCTTTTAAAAATTGTTCTTGGGTCTTCCCTGGTGGCGCAGTGGTTAAGAATCCTCCTGCCAATGCAGGAGGATTCTTAACCACTGCAGGATTGAACACGGGTTCGATCCCTGGTCCGGGAAGATCCCACATGCCATGAAGCAACTAAGCCCGTGTGCCACAACTACTGAGCCTGTGCTCTAGAGCCCGTGAGCCACAACTACTGAAGCCCGCGTGCCTAGAGCCCGTGCTCCACAACAAGAGAAGCCACCGCAATGAGAAGCCCACTCACCGCAACAAAAACCCAATGCAGCCATAAATAAATAAATAAATAAATTTATATATTAAAAAAAAGTGTTCTCATTTAACATAACTTAAAAGAATATTCTGGAAACTGAAGTATAAAGATTACATTTACTCTGAATCCAGATACTTTCTCAACTGTATAAGTACAGGATGGCTCTGCCTTCTCCATTAGTAATACGGACTCATAAGTTATGCTGCAAAAAATGTCTGACCCTCCTCAGCATTTAGCTAGAGAGACCAAAGGAGTTAACTGAAACCTCATGTTCACTGTTAATTTTCATTATAATTGGTAAAAATGATGCCTATAATAGATGGTATTCACATTTTCAATAAATTCATATTTTTTTGATGATCACATATAGAAAACAAATTAGATTTCATGTTAAAAAATAAGGTTTATTTGTAATAGCTATCTTTAATAACTCTATATTTTTCCTCTGGGGAATGCACAAGTACAGACAATGCTAGCTTTAACATTTATTGAAAAGGCGTGCTCTTTACACTAATGCAAAAGGATAAGCCTCTTCTTTACTATAAAGAATTCTCACTGCATTTGAACTAAGATTCTGGAGCACTCAGCAGAGAGGAGTTTGGGATGACAGGCCAGAATCAGTCAGTAGGTTTTCTCCTCAATTAGGTAACTGAAATAGGAACTCTAGTTCTAAATATCAGAAGCAAAGTCTAAATATTAGAAAAATAAAGAGAGGGAATACAACAAACTGCTTCAAATACATGCCTGAGGTGAGAAACAGCTTGTACTTTCATGTAGTGGCAGCTTCCAGATGAAATCTTCTTCAGTTTTTAATCTTCAGGTTCATATCTGGAAAGAGATATATATTCAATTAACAGCATAATGTCATGACACTTTTTGCTGTTGTTGTTGTTACCAAATAAGTTTACTTCAAACACCTCCAGTGACTAAACCAGTAATGTTGCATTTTTCACTTAAAATCACTGCTACGGGAGAAGTCAGATACATTCAAGGCATGACGAGGGTAACTCGGGATTCCTGCCACAGGTGGAGAATGGACCAGATAACTGCTGAGATACCTTCAGGTTCCAAGTTTCTACATGTGGCATCTAGATCTGTGATAGCTTAGTAGATTAGGGATTCGGCGGTAATTATGGTAATTATCTAATCGATGGCCTGATGGACACAAACAGCTGATATGGCTTTGTGAGTACAGGGTTAACAGACCCCTTCTCTAAGGAAAAATATGATCTGGGATTCACTTTCTAGCTCTGGTACCCTGGAACCCTGCTAAAGGTAAAATGTCAGCTGAATTTCCAGGCAGAGCCACTGATGACAGAAATGACCCCGATTAGAAGACTCCATCTGGACCAGGAGAACTGTGAACAAGTATACATCCATGGCGGAAACCACGGCTTCGGCTTCCCTACAGTTGAGTCCCTCCCTCCCGGACATGTCCCTGCCTGGGCACCACGTGGCTGGACCAAAGACACTGGTCCTATATAGGGCATGGAACTTCTAAGCCACACTGGCTCTGGCACCCACGCATGGACTCATTTTCTAGCACCTAAATTGTCATGTGAGAGCACAGTATGATCAGGTTGTGGGCTGCAGCAAGGACACCACTGAGGAGAAATGCCCAATGCTGCCCTATGTGCTTGCTGTGGTTTCTGTCCAATATCCTGCTAAGAGAATCCACGGCCAGAGTAGCCTAGTGTAGCCCTGTGTGAGGCTAAAGGTTCGGCTGAACCTGAAAAGAAACGCTGGTGGGTGTTACAGATGAGGCCTGGCCAAAACCCCTCTGCCTTCCTCAGACACAGCCTTCTGGACTGAATGACAGAGCAACTCCCCACCGGCCTGACCTCTCCAGACACAAGGTTAGACTTAATGAAGGACAGACATCAACCCAGCAGGGAGACAATCTGAGAGACAGGATCAGTATGTCTTACTTCGCCAGTCTTTTCCTCAGGTCTTTGATTTGGTCATTCTTCTTGGTGAGAATCTCTTTCATGTTTCGATAAGCTGCTGTTTGTTGGAATTTTTTCTCTAATTCCTGCATAGTGAAAAATGTCAGCCCATTAATAAGAAATAGTTAAGGAAAGAAATAACATATCTGATGAAAATATATATTTTGCCCTAATTTTACTAATATTGTGCTTATTTTATTTTCTAATTTTTACTATTTATTTATTTATTTTTGCAGTACGCGGGCCTCTCACTGTTGTGGCCTCTCCCGTTGCGGAGCACAGGCTCCAGATGCGCAGGCTCAGCGGCCATGGCTCACGGGCCCAGCCACTCCGCGGCATGTGGGATCTTCCTGGACTGGGGCACGAACCCATGTCCCCTGCATCGGCAGGCGGACTCTCAACCACTGCGCCACCAGGGAAGCCCTATTTTCTAATTTTAAAAAATATATACTTATATAAAATTAAGACTATTCAAACTTTAAAAATACATTCTTTCAAATGGGAAGCTAATAAAATAGTAACATTTCCCAAGTACAATATTAGCAAATAACTCAAACATACTATGCCATAGACATGGGAAATCTATTTGAAAAAGTAAATTCATTTTCAGGTAAAATAAGCATGCTCTTTTTTCCAAATCCCAAAATACTGCCAGTATTTGAAGAGGAGGATTTTAAATTTAATTACATTTTAGCTCCCATATTCTTAAGAGTCTAACCCCTAAAGTGAAAAAACCAGTTCTCCACATATCTCATATAAATTAAGAAAAAGGTATAGAACCCTTGAGAAAAAAGCCACTCATCCCTCTGCCAGACTGTAAGAGGGCTGATCAGGAAGAGCAAAATGGGTGCTCAGGGTGCCGGCTGTACGCCACCCTCAGTGGAGTATTTACCATAGAACAGAAGGAGTGTAGGTTTTTATTATCACAGATATTTTAGTGCCAAAGATGGAAGAATCTCAGTGTCCCCAAATGATAAATCTTTAGAACACAAATTGCCTAATACCTTGACAAAAAATGAAGTGAATATGTAGTTGTCCAACGTTTCCCTTAGTTACACTGCATTCATCACTTAATCGGATATAAACAGACAAATCTGACCTTTTCAGCCATGCTCAGCTGCTCCTGCACCCTGAGCAGGTCATGCTTGGCTGTCGCTAGATTCTCCTCCAGGGACTTCTGGTTTTCTGTCTGGTCATTAAGTGTCTTCTGAAACTCACTCTTTAAAGCAGCAACTGTGTTTTCCAAGTCACTCAAGTCTTGGGTCTTTATAAAATCCTATGAAAAATACATACACTCACATGATTTCATGCTGACATCCTAAATAGCAACTGCTTTAGATTCAGCATCACAGGTGATGGAAACAGATGATGATGTGTGTTGCGTGTGCATGTCAGCATCCCCCGCCAGCCTTCTCTGCCACTGCAGCCCAGTCAGGGTCACCAGCACACCCAGTTCACCCTCAGCACCAGTGCACTGTGTCCTGAGCACAGCAGACACTCAGTGGTCACTGATTTCCAAGTATGTAAAATATGATTTATGAACTGCTGGAATTCCAAAAGAGGAACAAGAGAGGTGGGATCCTAAATTTGACAAGATTGTGTTTCCCCGAGTTGGGGTGGCAAATAGGCTTCATTTTTGAAAAGTCAAGGTAAAAAAATCCTGGTGAAGAATTTTTAATGATACAGATGGAAAAATAATAAAATTAATACAATTTATACAAAAAATGTAAGAGACATGTTTTACAATATTATGAGAGCCTAATTAATGCTTACTGATTATATGGCTTGCTAAATTTACAAGATTTTAAGTTTTTTACATTAATTCGATATGCACATATTTGTACACTTCGTCAGTGTAATATAAGCAGCTGGATCTTCTACCTGGATCATGTTTTTAACTAGATAAAATTTATAAAAGACAAAAGTTATATTAATGACAGGAAAATGGTCTATAATTGCTAACTATGAAGACGAAGCACTACTATCAACAAAAGAAGAATTCCTTACTTATTTTTGAAATCTGGTTTTTAAAAAGATTTTATTTCACTGCATCTAGTCAAGGCCTGTACGCATTTTGCTTTTGCCAAATCTTAAAAGCAAAACTGGAGCAAAACCTTCAATGGCTTTTAAAACAAATTCATCATCTGAAAATGTTGGTAACTGGTTTACTTTTGAGAAACTAAAGCTGTTCTGGAGTATTTAGCTGTTTTATGGTCCTTGGTATATAATGATTGAAATTTATGGTCCTTGGTATATAATGATTGAAAATCATATATATTTCCTTTTGTTTTAGCCATATAAGACGCATCCTTTTATTTAAAAAATACCTACAGACTGGGCTTCCCTGGCGGCGCAGTAGTTGAGAGTCCGCCTGCCAAAACAGGGGACACGGGTTCGTGCCCTGGTCCGGGAAGATCCCACATGCCGCGGAGCAGCTAGGCCCATGAGCCATGGCTGCTGAGCCTGTGCATCTGGAGCCTGTGCTCCGCAACGGGAGGGGCCACAACAGTGAGAGGCCCACATACCACAAAAAACAAAACAAAACAAAACAAAAAACCTACAGATAAAATAATGTAATGTCTGAGACCGGCTTCAAAAAAACATGGGGGGGAACTTCCCCAGTGGCGCAGTGGTTAAGAATCTGCCTGCCAATGCAGGGGACACAGGTTCGAGCCCTGGTCCGGGAAGATCCCACATGCTGCGGAACAACTAAGCTCGTGCACCACAACTACTGAGCCTGCGCTCTGGAGCCCGCAAGCCACAACTACTGAGCCCATGAGACACGACTACTGAGCCCGTGAGCCACAACTACTGAGCCTGCGTGCCACAGCTACTGAAGCCTGTGCGCCTAGAGCCCATGCTCCGCAACGAGAAGCCACCACAATGAGAAGCCCACGCTTGCTGCAACTAGAGAGAGCCTGTGCACAGCAATGAAGACCCAACGCAGCCAAAAAATTAATTAATTAAAAAAACCCAAAAAACATGGGGAAAGGGAGAAGAAAGTAGAGGTAAATATGAAACCAGGCTGGCCATGTCTTGATGACTGACTGGTAAAGCAGAGTGATGAGTACCTGGGGTGCATTACACTATTCTCTCTACTCCTGTATATGTTTGAAATTTTCCATAGAAAAAGTATAACCAAAGTCTAATGAAGTAAGTTTGGGGATTGTTTAGTAGACATTTACAATGGCACTACAACCACTAGAAAAGCCAGTGCTGCAATGAAAATTCACTCCAATGGTCCTGCTGACAGGATCCTATTACAGCATCTAATCTCAATGGAAAGGCCAAAGGAGGCAGAACTGAGCACACGATGACTTCCAGGGCAGAGTGATACTCAGTCATTCCATTCAGACAAGCTTGGAGAACTTCACTGGATTTCACTGTATTACAGAAGCACAGCTAGATATAGGCGGATTAGAAGATGCATGACGAGTAAATTCATTCTGTTTTGTCACACTCACCGAAGGGAAACTTAAGTAATAATAAGTTCTGTATAATAATAACTAAAAACTCTTCCTTTCTTCCCGTTGTAATTGGAAGGGCAAAGTGAAAGGGAGAAGAATTTTTAAAAAATAAATTTAAGCATATCTCATATGCCAATGGGCTCTGGGATATGTGAAGTACATGAGCTGTGTATCTGCCCCCACTGCCCTCAACAGGCGCTCACCTGGCCTTTCCTGGACAAGTTTGTCTTGATGCAGAACTACAGTGGTGGCCTCCCTCTCAGGGAGTGGCTGGCTGTGGGGCATAATACTGATAGTAGCTAAGACTTAATATAAGTTTATAACTTGATCATCTAGAAAATGTGAAAATGCTAAAACTGATTTCACCTTCTGAGTTCCTTGATCAAGCTGTAAATCTTGCAGTGCTCTTTCTAGTTTTGACTTCTCATCCAATGCATTTGTTGCCTATAATCAAGATTAAACAAAATACATTCAGTACTTAGTCTGTAAGTAACTCTTTCAATAATTTTGTTAAAGTATTTCTCGGTTACCTGTGTTTCAAGGGTCTTCAGCCTTGACTTTAATTTCTCATTCTCTTCTTGAAGTCTTAAAATTTCCTTTGTGAGTAAATTCAAGTTTTATTATGTTAGCCAAAGTATTTTTAATCCTTTGTTTCACTTAAAAATTTAATTTTTATATTAAATTACATAAAAGCTCAAAAGTCTGCATGCCCTGGTTACTGGTAATATTCCAGTTTTACCCAGCCCACCAGCCTCAACACGTATGAGTCATCTCTGGCTCTAAGACTTCTAGTTTCTTCTTTCACAGTCTCTCAGGCTTTTTGCAGCCCTCTACTCTCAGCCTTTTTGCCAAGTCCCTCTCCCCTGCCATCTCTCACCTAGCTGATCCTGCAACTCTTGGGTTTGTTCTCAGCCTACACTGTACACCACTTGCTGCTTATCCTCAAGACACAATCTTCATCATTCCATACCCTGTGTCCAGCCCCTAAGTGGTTCCAACTGAGCTGAGGTCCAAGGGCCTTGCTCATCAGCAGCTCCGTCACAAGCATCACCTGTCAGTGCAGTCTCACTTCTTACTATACCCCAGCACATGCAGCATCGCCCAGCTGGAGAGCCTGCACTCTGCTCCAAGGCATGCCAGCCTCCTCTCTGCCTCTGACTGCTGCCCACTCTGTTCCTCTGCTGCCCATACCATTTCTCTTCCCTCTGACAATTCAATCTGCTACACCTTTCAGCCCAGCTCAGGCACCACCTTACCCAAGAGCCTGTCCTCAACTACTCTTACCCACATGGAAATGTGTCTTCTCTGCCACCCTGTGGCACCTTTGGCACCAGGTTAGTGGCAACTGTGGCACACAGGTTAGCATTCTGCTGTCTCTGTTCCTAGAATATTAGTTATCCCTTCCCAACGAGACTACAAGGTTTTTAAGGGCAAAAGGCCAGGTATTACTTTTCTTTTTATGTAACAATATCTAGCATAATGTTGAGAACACAAGAGTCACGAAAAATAGTTGTATATCAGTAATTAATCTTTATAAACCTCTTAATTAAAAAATCTCTTCACTGTTATCACAGCTCATAAACTTCAAATGTCCATCAATAAACACTTCCCAAAATTCTATGCTCTTCACTTCATTATGAAAAGATGCAATCAAGAGCTGCTTCAGACTCTCTGGGAGTTAAGTGTGTCCTCTTCTGGCCCACCAGGTACCATTCAGTACAACTACTGTGATGGGCTAATTACCCTCAGTGGACCAAAGCCTGAATCAACACCTTCCACCCAGTCTCTCTACCCTAGAGCTGGGCAGGCAGTGAGCATACATCCTTAGAGAGTTTGCCATTTCTCAAAATGATGGCAACATTACCTTGTTTAGGAGTTCTGCTGTTCCACCTTCGTTAAGTGGAGCAAGTTTTGGCTTTATGTTATCTATGATGGGCTGAAACAAAACAAAGAAACCAAACTGAAATCACCACTGAATAAAACACGTGTAATCACTGAACTCTTGTACTTTCTAAGTGGAAGACACTGTGTAAACATATTCACTGAGATATCAGCTAGATTTTCATTGGTTTGGATCTCTGCTACGTCCTAGTGCTTAGGACAGTGCCTGGCCCACAGTGCCCAATGCAAATTAGAGATAAAAACAAAACCCATCCTCCTTGTATCTTTAAAAAAAAAAAAAAACAAAGAACAGGTGGAAGAGAAAGGAGGGAAGGAAGGTACTCAAAGCCAAAGCCGATAAAGATCCTAGTATCTAGAGACTGGGATTTTAAACTGTGGGAGCTAAAACGGAGATTTCTGCATGAACCCCAGAAAAATTGTAATAATGATGAGGATTTAGGTAAACTACATTACGGATGAGTAACTTGACACAAACATTCTGGCAGTTTAGCAATATGTATTAAAACAAAACAGTTCATGCCCTCTGACCTAGAAATTTCTTAGCTAGAAATATTTTCCAAAGGAATAATTAGAAAATTGTTTTGTACCTGTATGTTCATGGATTGATCTTGGCAGTGTTTTACCATGTAACACCACAGAGGATTTATGGTGCATCTACACAATGGAATGCTAAGTGGTCACTACAGGTAATGAGAATGATTAAAGAGACAAGCAGGTAACTACTAGTACTGTCTCCACTTGACAGATGAGGGGAACGAGGCTCAGCCATCTCAGGTAACCCGCTCAAGGTCGCACAGCTGAGGAGTGACAGTGCCAGGGTGCATGCCCCCAACGCCTGTGCTCCGCATCATCTGAGTGAAGAGCTTGCATGGCTGGGAGGCGGGTGGACTGCAGGGATGTTGTGTGCATGCGCATGCGTGTGTGAGGTAGTAGACAAAAACAAGTTTTTCATAGTTACTTCCAAAACTTATCTTTTTTCTCCTAAAAATCTGAGAGGCAAGCTTGGAATTCTGCTCCTGAGTTGAATGCTTTTCCTTGAGAGTTCTCACTTTAATCTCTGAATGCTCTGAGCAACTTGAGGATTTTAAACACTGGCTATTAAGGTATGGGCTTATAAGGACCAAAAATTACCTTTTTATTTGAAGATGTAAATTCTGCTTTTTCAAATTCTGCAACTTGTTCCAATAATTCTCTTGAAGACAAAAACAAATAGGAAAAAATATTTGTTTAGAATAGATTTGTATCATACACACAAGAAGAATAAAAGCAGGACTTCCCTGGTGGTCCAGCAGTTAAGACTCTGTGTTCCCAATGCGGGGGGCCCAGATTCGATCCCTGGTCAGGGAACTAGAGCCTGCGCGCTGCAACTAAAAAAAGATCCCGCACACCACAACAAAGATCCCGCGTGCCACAACTAAGACCTGGCACAGGCAAATAACTAAATAAATAAAATTTAGAAAGAAAAAAAAGAAGAAGAATAAAAGCACTGGTACCAATCTATTACACGCCAGAAACAACAGAGCAAGATGAACAAAACTTCACCACATCAAAAATATTTAGTTACTAATGGTCGAGAACCTAAGTTCCATGCACTCAAATTTGAATCTCCATAGCACCTACTATTTTGTACCTACTGAGTGTACAATATAATCGCTAGAACTAAATTACAATGTTAATACAACTATGTCTGAAATTTGTAGTCAACACTGTATTTTTGAGGTGCTAAGGGGAAATTGCTCTATAATATACATTGTTAGCTAGTAGAGGTTCAAGGAAAACTGAGTTTTAATAGAGTAGCCTCGGAAAAATAAAATTAGTTCACATCTACTGGAAAAGAGTACGATAAATTCTCAAGGAAGACAGATGGTTTGGGGGATCCACCTGAACATTTCCTTTTATTTGCAAAGGTACCTGGGGGCTGACTATACAAAAGCTTACAGAGTGAATGGCAGTAACTACTCTCCTAAGCTTTTTAATAGGTCAGTTTCTCAAAGTTTTCTCACCAGTTATCTACTGGCAGTTGGTGAAGCTAAATGGTTTCCTTCCCTACCCGAGGCCACAGCACTGTCCACAAGCCGCGCTGCACCTGTGCTTAGCAAACGGCCCCTGGGCTCAGTATCAGTCTTTGCAGATCTCTGGCATGACTTTTCTTAGACTGAGTTTCAATTTCATTGATTTTACCATATTTTTTAAAAATTAATGAGCTTTTTGATATAGTTCAGATAATGAAACTTTTTTACTTTCCCTATTTTAAAGATCAGTATATAATTTTAATGCAATTATTTAGAAATAAACTTCCAATACTACTAAGTGTGATTTGATGGTATTTGAATTAACTTTTCAACTGTTTCATAATCTTTTTTTCTTAGTTGACCTATCTCTGAAGACTTGTTATAATACTGATCAGGCTAACCAGAGATATACCATATGGAATAATTACTTATAGCCTTAAGAGCAATCTCATAAATCTCAGAGGCCTTTATAACACCTAGGAATAGTGGAAACAGGGCATTTTGAAGAGGATGCTGAGCGGCACCTAAGAGATCACTTAGTAACTGGATGCTCTGCTGTTACCTTACCCAAATTTTCTCACACACCAGGCCCAAGCAAAGCAGCAAAGATATTCACTAACTTTTTTTTTTTTTTTTGCGGTACGCGGGCCTCTCACCGTTGTGGCCTCTCCTGTTGCAGAGCACAGGCTCTGGACGCGCAGGCTCAGCAGCCATGGCTCACGGGCCCAGCCACTCCGCGGCATGTGGGATCTTCCCAGACCGGGGCATGAACCCATGTACCCTGCATCGGCAGGCGGACTCTCAACCACTGCGCCACCAGGGGAGCCCTCACTAACTTAAGTTCATGCTTGGGCCTCTATTGTCATAACTGTGGATACAAATTTTAGTACCTGTTTTCAAGTTCAGAGATGTCTGTCTGTAGCTTGAGGTACCACTTCTCAGCCTGTGAGAAAAGCTGCCGCAGAAGTAGCACATTGGTGTAGGCCGTGTTGATGAGCTCAGACTCCACCTCGCTGTGGACCACGGCCTGTAACCCATTCAGGACTTCAGAGACTTCATCTATGGTGAAGGTCTCCTCCACCAGCCTGAAAAACAACCACAATCCAAAACCTCTGGATAAACAATAACAACTATTTACAAAGTAAAACAAAACTAAGAAACCCACATCATGTCATCTGAGGCAGCGGCCCTCAACCTTTTGTGGAAGACAACTGTTCCATGGACGTGGGGGTGGGGGTAGGGGGATGGTTTCAGGATGATTCAAGCTCATTACATTTATTGTGCCCTTTATTTCTATTATTATTACATTGCAATGTATAATGAAATAATTATACAACTCACCATAATGCGGAATCAGTGGGAGCCCTGAGCTTGTTTGCCCTTGCCACTCACTGATAGGGTTTTGATATGAGTCTGCAAGCAATTGATTTATTATGGTCCCTGTGCAGTCAAAGCTCTCTGCTAATGAAAATCTGTATTTGCAGCTGCTCCCCAGCGCTAGCATCACTGCCTCAGCTCCACCTCAGATCATCAGGCATTAAATTCTCATAAGCACAACCTAGATCCCTCGCGTGCACAGTTCACAGTAGGGTTCACGCTCCTATGAGAATCTAATGCCGCTGCTGATCTGACAGGAGGCGGAGCTCAGGCAGTAATGCGAGCGAAGGGGAGCGGCTGTAAATACAGAGGAAGCTTCGCTTGCTCGCCTGCCTGCCCGCCGCTCACCTCCTGCTGTCCGGCCCGGTTCCTAACAGGACATGGACTGATACCAGTCCATGGCCCAGGGGTTGGGGACCCCTGATCTAAGGGTTTAAAGGGTTTAGTGAAAGTCCCTCTGGAAATTATCTTCTTTATTAATAAAACAGTTTGAAAATAATTTAAGCTCAATTAATTTTTGATGTCTATTTAAATGATTAAACTGGTTCGCTCTTCAAATGTGCACATCCTTTAATACAAGTATGTGCTCAGAAACATTCCCCAAACTATCTACTTTTTTCTTTAGCTTTTCAGTGAAAATCTTTAATCTCCCCTAAAATTAGTTTTATCACATTTAATTATTTCATAAGTCACCTGAGAGGTGTAATTTCTCCTTTCTTTATATCATTTGTCTAGCATTTCGATGACTGAATGACCATTCACATGTTAGTAAATGCCTATAAGAAAATCAATGGTAATTATATATTGCTTCTCTTAGCATTCTTGAGGCCCAAAAGAAAAAAATCCTAATTTAATTAAAGCTCCATTAAAACAAACATCATCATCAAAAGGATTAAAGATCGACTCTTCCACAGAGAACGTTTGTGTTGGAAGGGAACTCTTGAGCCATTTTCTTCAATTCCCTCACTTCACAGATGGAACACAGGCTCAGAAGGTGGCGGTGACTTGCCCATGGTCCCAACTCCACAATCATTTCCAACAACCTCAGGAACATGCCCAACAGCTGAATCCTTGAGAAAGCTTCCACGCATGCCTCCTACGATCAATGACAGCTTTATAGTAACACAGTCTCCTCCACTCCCTGCCTCCAGCCTCAAAGTGTTTTATCCCTCAGATGCTCAGCAGATGAAGAGCTACAGCCCCGACCTCAAGTCTTCTTCTCCATCATTCCAAAAGGACATAACGAAGGGAGTTACACCAAACTTTATTTGATTTACCATTCTTTAACGTTTCATTTACCCAGCAGAATTTAACCACTCTAAAAAAACCAAAACTTTATTTTTGATGCAAGTCCTTATTAAATATATTAACAATCTTTCTATATTCTTTAATAGAACAAAGCAAATCTGCTTAAAAATGTTTTTTTTTTTTTTTGAGCAACCCAAGTTCATTATTATGAACAGCAGTTAAGGTACTCCAATGCATAAAGTAAATAATGGGTACCTTCTCTGGCTGTCTCATAGACTCACCAATCAGATTGCTGCTTACCTCTGCTGTGGGTTAGGAAGCCAGATTATCAGATTAGAATGATGGGTCGAACAGGTAACAGTCTACAGCTGAGGGTCTCTGCTATTGAGTGAAGTTAATGACTTTATCACAGTTACAGATCACTTGGAGACCTTTTTCATTTATGTCTTGACATTTAAGTGTGCCAAAATCTGATCCCCAAGTAATCTGATGTCTCTTTATTACTCAGTCCTTTTGGTTGGCTTCCCTATTATCCTCTATTACTAAATTTTCTATGGACTTTTATTATCTTCCACTATTGGTCCAACTAAACTAATTATCATCTCTTGCTACAAATCAACTAATAATTTTGGTACTAGTCAGCAAGCTTTTCATGGTTTCCTGCTGTTTTCTCTTCTTCTAATTCTTCAATATAAACTGCATAGGTGTTTTCTTGCTAACTGCCATGTCTTATGGCTCTAATCTTTTAATTAAAAACTCAAGTAATTAAGGTTCTGGAATCTTTAATACAGCAAGCCAATCATTAACCCACAAGCACTTCACAATTTCCTGACTGCCCTTCTGAAACTTTGCAATCCCTCAATTATCATTATATGCATGTTTAGTAACAGACTGCTCCCACCACAATCTGATTTCTTGAGTATCACATATCCATAAGGCTTAGTGTAGCTGCTCTCAATGAATAATTGATCATGATATCCTGGCAATGGTTTGTAAGGCCTCTCTGCTACAGCACCCCCATACTGGCCACCAGAAGGGATCCATGTTCCTTCCCACTGGGTTTCCTTAGAATTCTCTGATACCTGCTCTCCTTGAGGTCCTGGAAGCAGGAATCTACAGTTTTGAGTCTCAAGCCTCTTTTTGAACGAGCAAAACGCATGTAATTAATAACTTCATTTTGATGGTGTTCATTCAGACCCAACTCTGCCTGAAAAAAAGAATTTAATTGTTAGTCTTGAAGATATAATAAAGGAACCAACAATGAAAACATACAGGTTATCCTGTGGTGGAGACTGGCAGATGTCCACTAAATTCTGTTCTTCCCATCTTCCCAGACACATGGCTGCCCAACGAGAAAACACTCCCCAGCCCTCCGTGAAGTCAGGTGTGGCCACATGACTACTTCTCAGCAATGGATGTGAGAAGAATAAGAGCTATTTCTAAAGCCTGGGACTTAAGACATGGGGCACACCTTTGCCACACCCTATTTCTCTGAAACCTGGGGGTGGTGACTCCGCTGAACCATGCAGACAGCACAGTGCCCTGGGGGCTGGGGGAACAGCAAGCTGAAAGGGACTGGTATCCCTGGAACGACTTTGTGGAGCAGCACTGACCTCGTACCTAACTGTGATGAGCAGTGAGAGGGCTGTTAAGCATGAGATAAATAAACTTCTGTATTCTTTTTTTTTTTAATCTTTATTGAATTTGTTACAATATTAGTTCTTTTTTTTATAAATTTATTTATTTTTGGCTGCGTTAGGTCTTTGTTGCTGCGCTCAGGCTTTCTCTAGCTGCGGCGAGCGGGGTCTACTCTTTGTTGCGGTGCGCAGGCTTCTCATTGCGGTGGCTTCTCTTGTTACGAAGCATGGGCTCTAGGCATGCGGGCTCAGTAGTTGCGGCTCATGGGCTTAGCTGCTCTGCAGCATGTGGGATCTTCCCAGACCAGGGCTCGAACCCGTGTCCCTCGCATTGGCAGGCAGATTCTTAACCACTGTGCCACCAGGGAAGCCCAAACTTCTATATTCTTTAAGGTACTGGGTTTTTTTCTTTCTTTCTTTTTTTAATCTCTATTACAGAAACTTAACCTTATCCCATCTCACACAGCTTTAAAAAATATATTTGGTTTTGAAATAGCCACTAATTGGTCTTGATTTTAAACCGAATGAGAGCTTGACAACCATAAGCTAGAAATTAATAAAGCTTTTTCATTTTATAGCTATACTGAAAATTAAAGAAGGAAATTATAAAAGTGAACCTCTAATGCAGGGGGCTGAATAAGTCAGGATTATTTTACTGTAAGAATAACCTGTCTATGGGAGACAAAGGTCTAACTCTCATTCTCAGCACAGTGTTGGGCTGCATTGTGGAGGCCAGCACCAAGGTCACTGGGCATGACCTCCTTCACCCCCCAAGCCCCGCACCACGGCTTTGCTGCATCTACATACATCCTTACCTTCTCTCAGCAGTTTCCATTCCCTGAGAACAGAAGTCTACAAGGGCCATGACCTTGTCCCTCTGGTTCCCTGAGTATCCCCGGGACGACTCATAGTGCCTGGCACACAACAGACATGTGCCTGACAAGTCAACTGAAAGAGTTCCTCCTTCTGAAGGCCATCATGGCCTTAATGTGTTCTCTTTCAAGCTCCTGGGGGACTTTATTTAACCAATTACTCCCCGTCTCAACTCTCTATACGTTTCTTCTTCCCCTCGGACCATAGAGAAGACTGTGTACATAAATCTCACTCATGCTAAAAAAATACAAAACCAGAAATTCCCTCCAGCTACTGCTGCATTTCTCTACTTCCCTTCTACTCTTGCTGTCTCCATTCTATATGCTGTTCAAACTGCCTTTGCGAAGCTCACCAGCAACTTCTTAATAACAAATCCAACTACCGTGGCCGATGCTTTTCTGTCCACTGACCTGCTCCATTCTTTGGCTGCTAACCCCACCTCCCTTCTTGATCTCATCTGTAGGCTCCTCTTGGGCTTGCCTCTTAAGTAGCTGTACTTCCCAGGGCCCTGCCTGGGGGCCCTTACTCTTGTCATTCTATATCCTCTCCTTGATGACATGATCTATCTCAAGATGTCAACTGTTATCTATATGCATCTGACTCTCAAATATAACAGGCTGGCCTACAGACGTGTACCCCCAACCACATGATGAATGGCTCTAACAAGTCTTTTTCTCCCTCACATTGTTCTTAATATTTCTACAATTCAAGATGTTAGAGTTCAATAATTTAAGAATTACCCAAGACATTACGATGTTCTCTAATGGTCATTTATCTAGTAGACTAATGTTTCAGAACAACTAGTTGAGGTATTTTGACCAATGTAAACCAACACATATGAGATATGTACTTACCTTAAATTTCATGACTTTACCTTATTTGTTAAAATGGTAACTAAGATCTTGCCTTAGAGCTAGACAAAGTAAATGGAAAGACGTTTCTTACGTTTTGGTTTATAATGATTATTAGCCAACTCCCTGAACTAATGTCGAACATTAGAAATAATAATAGTAATGATGATAACAGCTAAAAGTCATTCAGAGGTTACAATGTGCCAGGCATTACCTCATTTAATCCTCAATACAACCCTGTGATAAAGGTAGTATAAACCTGCTTTACAGGGACTTCCCTGGTGGTCCAGTGGGTAGGACCCCATGCTCCCAATGCAGGGGGCCTGGGTTTGATTCATGGTCGGGGAACTATATCCTGCACGCCACAACTAAGACCCAGAGCACCCAAAATAAATAAATAATAAATTATTATTTTTTTTAAAAAACCCTACTTTACAGATAGATAAGTGAGATACAGAGAAGAAAGATTTTCTATGCTACTGAAATAGGTAAGTGGGAGAGCAGGGATCTGAACCAGGCAGTCTAACTCCACAGCCCCCACTCAACTTGGCTGTTTCAAATCCTTTTTGGAAAATGTCAGAGTTTAAATAAATAAAAGAAAACAAACATGTTATAGTTGCATATGCACCTGAGTTGTGACTCACAACAAGACAGATCTCCACCAGGCATTTGAAAAAAGAACTGAATACCTACATTAGAAAAGATGTTATCTCTTATAGTCGCATAAGTATGGGCAAGAATATCCTACAATTGGAAATAACTCAAAACAATGTCACATCTTGCTAAAAAAAATCCCATAAACAAATTTTCAATTATTCTTCCTTGTTTATAGTCTTAAGTGCATAAGGCCTCCATACTCCCCAAACTCCTTCTCTAACCCCATTTCCCAGAATTCTACCATAAGGACACTCTACTTCAGTCAGACTAGTCTGCTCATCAGAAGCATGATTTAACATTTCCTGCTTATACTTTCACTCTCATTACCCCAATCCTTGACTAAAAGTACCTCCCCATTCTTATTCAAGAATCTGAACCCAACCCAGTGGTGTGCTGGTAAATGCTTAACAACAGGCTTTTGGGTGGGGGGTGTATGAAACTGATTTGCGGCCCTTGCTGATTTCTGTGGTATAAAAACTCCCAGCAAGGCTGATTTCAAGCTACCAAGGTAATGTCACTGAATGCAGAGATGAGAAGAAATGCACACGATTGGCTCTCACCAGCCAGTACGAGCATGCTCCAGGAAATCACCAAATTCCTACCCATCCTTCAAGACCAAACCTGTTTTACCTACTCTGTGAAGCCTCCCAATATGCCCTCAGTAACTCTAGTTATGCCTTCCTCCAAAAATTAGCACATATCAACTCTGCTACTCATTTGGCAACACCACAGACTAATTACTACCTTGTACTATTAGTAGTCTTTTCTTCCAGATGTTGCTCCTTCAAGTAGACTGTAAGCTCATGAGGGCCTGAATCATTTCTTATACCACACAGCTCCTCGTACAGTGCCTTGTGCAGAGTAAGTGGCCAATTCAAATCTGTTAATTATTTTCTCTTCAGTCAAGAAAAGTCTTGACTGTCCCAAGACCAAGAAGAAAAAATTACAAAAACTGAGGATGAACTTTAGGACAAAAGACAGAAAAGTTACTCTAAAATGGATGGAGTTAAGAAAGGGAGCAGGAATAAGCAGCTGAGGGGGAATCAGGAAGATGGCGGAAGAGTAAGACGCAGAGATCACCTTCCTCCCCACAGATACACCAGAAATACACCTACACGTGGAACAACTCCTACAGAACACCTACTGAACGCTGGCATTAGATCTCAGACCTCCCAAAAGGCAAGAAACTCCCCAGGTACCTGGGTAGGGCAAAAGAAAAAAGAATAAACCGAGACAAAAGAATATGTACAGGACCTGCACCAGTGGGAGGGAGCTGTGAAGGAGGAAAGGTTTCCACACACTAGGAAGCCCCTTCGTGGGCGGAGACTGCAGGTGGTGGAGGGGGAAAGCTTCGGAGCTGCGAAGGAGAGCACAGCCACAGGGGTGCAGAGGGCAAAGCGGAGAGATTCCCACACAGGTGCCGACTGGCACTCACCAGCCCGAGAGGCTTGTCTGCTCCCCTGCCGGGTCAGGCGGGGCTGGGAGCTGAGGCTCGGGCTTCGGTCGGAGCACCAGGAGAGGACTGGGGTTGGTAGAGTGAACACAGCCTGCAGGGGGTTGTTAGTGCACCACGTTTAGCCGGGAGGGAGTCCGGGGAAAAGTCTGGACCTGCCAAAGAGGCAAGAGACTTTTTCTTCCCTCTTTGTTTCCTGGTGCGCGAGGAGAGGGGATTAAGGGCGCTGCTTAAAGGAGCTCCAGAGACGGGCGCGAGCCGCGTCTAACAGCACGGACCCCAGAGACGGGCATGAGACGCTAAGGCTGCTGCTGCCGCCACCAAGAAGCCTGTGTGCGAGCACAGGTCACTCTCCACACCTCCCTTCCGGGGAGCCTGTGCAGCCCACCACTGCCAGGGTTCCGGGATCCAGGGATAACTTCCCCGGGAGAATGCACGGCGCGCCTCAGGCTGGTGCAACGTCACGCCAGCCTCTGCCGCCGCAGGCTCACCCCGCATCGTGCCCCTCCCTCCCCCCGGCCTGAGTGAGCCAGGGCCCCCGAATCAGCGGCTCCTTTAACCCCGTCCTGTCTGGGCGAAGAGCAGACGCCCTCTGGCGACCTACACGCAGAGGCGGGGCCAAATCCAAAACTGAGCCCTGGGAGCTGTGCGAACAAAGAAGAGAAAGGGAAATCTCTCCCAGCAGCCTCAAGAGCAGAGGATTAAATCTCCACAATCAACTTGATATACCCTGCAT